TGACGGCAGTGATGGCGGGAGTGTGTTATTTCCTTCTCGCTCTCTGTCTCTTGTAAGTTCGTCTGGTGCGTTGGTTGATGAGCTGGTTGTCTAGTTGTTTGTTTGTTTGATTGTTTGCTTGTCTCTGTCCTATTTGTTCTTGTTTCTCACTGGTCCTGTTTGTTTTGTCCTCTGTCCATTTGTTTTGTCTGTCACTGTCTGTCTGTTTGGCTCTGTCCATTTGTCTATCTGTCTGTTTGTCTCTGTCCATTTGTTTGTCTGTCACTGTCTGTCTGTTTGGCTCTGTCCATTTGTCTATCTGTCTGTTTGTCTCTGTCCATTTGTTTGTCTGTCACTGTCTGTCTGTTTGGCTCTGTCCATTTGTCTATCTGTCTGTTTGTCTCTGTCCATTTGTTTGTCTGTCACTGTCTGTCTGTTTGGCTCTGTCCATTTGTCTATCTGTCTGTTTGTCTCTGTCCATTTGTTTGTCTGTCACTGTCTGTCTGTTTGGCTCTGTCCATTTGTCTATCTGTCTGTTTGTCTCTGTCCATTTGTTTGTCTGTCACTGTCTGTCTGTTTGGCTCTGTCCATTTGTCTATCTGTCTGTTTGTCTCTGTCCATTTGTTTGTCTGTCACTGTCTGTCTGTTTGGCTCTGTCCATTTGTCTATCTGTCTGTTTGTCTCTGTCCATTTGTTTGTCTGTCACTGTCTGTCTGTTTGGCTCTGTCCATTTGTCTATCTGTCTGTTTGTCTCTGTCCATTTGTTTGTCTGTCACTGTCTGTCTGTTTGGCTCTGTCCATTTGTTTGTCTGTCACTGTCTGTCTGTTTGGCTCTGTCCATTTGTTTGTCTGTCACTGTCTGTCTGTTTGGCTCTGTCCATTTGTTTGTCTGTCACTGTCTGTCTGTTTGGCTCTGTCCATTTGTTTGTCTGTCACTGTCTGTCTGTTTGGCTCTGTCCATTTGTTTGTCTGTCACTGTCTGTCTGTTTGGCTCTGTCCATTTGTCTATCTGTCTGTTTGTCTCTGTCCATTTGTTTGTCTGTCACTGTTTGTCTGTTTGTCTCTGTCCATTTGTTTGTCTGTCACTGTTTGTTTGCTTGTCTCTGTCTATTTGTCTGTTTGTCACTGTCTGTTTGTTTGTCTCTGTCCATTTGTTTGTCTGTCACTGTTTGTCTGTTTGTCTCTGTCCATTTGTTTGTCTGTCACTGTCTGTCTGTTTGGCTCTGTCCATTTGTTTGTCTGTCACTGTCTGTCTGTTTGGCTCTGTCCATTTGTTTGTCTGTCACTGTCTGTCTGTTTGGCTCTGTCCATTTGTCTATCTGTCTGTTTGTCTCTATCCATTTGTCGTCTGTCGCTTTCTGTCCGTCTGTCTCTCTATCTAACTATCTAACCATCTGTCTATCTAACTATATTCCAATTTCTCTCTCTCCTCTCTCTCTCTCTCTCTCTCTCTCTCTCTCTCTCTCTCTCTCTCTCTCTCTCTCTCTCTCTCTCTCTCTCTCTCTCTCTCTCTCTCTCTCTCTCTCTTCTTTCTCTCTTCTCTCTCTCATCCTTTATATCCTAAAAAAGACAAGTCATAATAGAGACATAAATTCTTAAAACTACGCACTTACGGGAGGTCATAATGGCTGCCCTTAAACATTTCACTTACAAAGGCAGCTTCTCCAATACATGAACCTAAACTGACCATACTAAAGCTCGTTTTATTTAGCCCTAAAACTATTCTTCACTCGCTTATAAACACAGTATCTCCGTCACCTGCACAGGGAGGGAGGGGGAGAGAGAAGGGGAGGGGGGGGGGGGGGGGAGAGAGGGAAGGGTAGGGGGGAGAGGGATCGGGATGGGGAGAGGGGAGGAAAGGGAGAGAGAGAGAAGGGGAGGGGGAAGGGAAGACGAGAGGGGAGGGAGGTATAAGGAAGGAGGGGGTGAGACGTGGAAAACGAGGAAGAATGAAGAAGGAGAGGGAGAAGACGTAGAAGGAGGGGAAAATGAGAAAAATAGAAAAGGAGGAGTATAGAGAAGAAAGGGTAGAAGGGATAAAGGGAAAGGAGGAAAAGAAAGGCGAGAAAGAGGAGAAAAGGAGGGACAGGGGGAAACGAAACGAAAATAGGAATGAGAAAAAGAGGGGGTGAGAAGAAGGGAGGAGGAGGAGGAGGAGAAGGAGGAGGAGAAGGAGAGATAGTCAGCATGCAGTCTTCGATAGATATTTTTATCCTCGTTATGTTTATGTTTTGCTTTCGCTCACTGCCGCGCTAGAATGCAAAGAGAGAGAGAGAGAGAGAGAGAGAGAGAGAGAGAGACAGACAGACGACAGACAGACAGACACACAGACAGAGAAAGAGAGAGAGAGAGGGGGGGGGGGAGAGATAGAAACAGATAGAGAGAGAGAGGGAGAGAGGAGAGAGAGAGAGAGAGAGAGAGAGAGAGAGAGAGAGAGAGAGAGAGAGAGAGAGAGAGAAGAGAGAGAGAGAGAGAGAGAGACAGAAAGAAAGAGAGAGAGAGAGAGAGAGAGAGAGAAGAG